ACTGATTTTGTTTTACTCTAATCTTGTGAGGGAGGTGCTATCATTAACTTCATTTCATAGATGTGCGGACTGAGGCGCAGACGATGGCTTCTCCAAGGTCCCGCCCCAGACTACAGCCGGGATTCAAACGAGTCTGCACTCTCCACCTCCATGCTTACTTCCTCTCGGGCCCGAGCTCTATCACCTCTGTCCTCCCCAGACTAGATGAAACAAAGCTCAGTCACAGTTTCACAAGTCGTTGGGAAGCCTAGGCTTAAGTGTCAATCAAGCATAGCAATATTCTATAAATTAGCCATCTTAGCATATGTTAATTAATGAGCCCACACACGTCACTTCAATAGTGTGAATCTTTTAAATAAACAGACATCTTGATATTTAAAAACAGGGAAAGATTACCTGAAGCAGGGACCATTACACCATCATGAGGTGAGTACTGTTCTCCACCTTCATGGATGGCATCAAGAGGGTTCAACAGACATCCTACACATGGCAAACTGACTTAAAATACACATAATAATTATGAAAGAATTCAGTAATGTAGACCGAGTAAAATATGTATCAAAATTTTCTAATTACTAAAAGTAGAAACAATAAGCTCACAGAAATGAATATTATTTTTTTATAATCGCTTTCTCACTAAAGTTTAATAGAAGCATAATTATAATAACCTTAAAATAAAGCTAGTTGTCAACTGTGGACCATTTTCCCATATCCCTGTGCAAAGGGGACATTTGACAATAACGTTTGGAGACCTTTTTGGTTGTCAAGGCTGAGGAGTGAGGGATGCTTACTGGCATTGGGTTTGGGGATGCTGCTAAACATCTACATTTCACAGGACAGCTCCCCACCACAAAGAATAACCTGCCCCAAAATGTTAACAGTGCCAAGTTTGAGAAACCCTCCTATAAAAATTGCATCCATACCAGTAGTGGCTAAACCTGAAAAATTAAGAAAAAGGCAACTATTACAAAACTTGGTATACATTTGAGCACAAAGATAAAAATGACTATTCTATTGCAAAATTTAGGGATAAAACCAACTTAATTTTGGCCTTCATGACAAAGTTGAATAAATGTCATATCATTTTTTGCCATCATTAGCTTCTTGTTTTTGTACTAATTATAGGACTGATGGGCCTCTTTCCTAAAATTTTAAACTCAGTACTTTGCTCTTCAGACTCAAAATAACTTATACAGAATATACCAGTGGGGAAACCAAGCTATGCATATCAAAGAATTAAAAGTGAGAACTGATAAATATTGGCATTTCATTTAATGATTGCTCAAATCCAAAGAACAGACTAGGTACGTGGACTGATGTTTCTGTCTATGCAAATTCTCTCCGTCATCATTAGTGAAGGAGAAAGCACGCTCTGACACAGACTTTGTGTGTTTAAGTTTAACCCAGGGCAAATTTTTATGGTAAGTAATAAACCCACAAAACTGGAGTTCGTATTAGAAGCCCTTACACTATTAACTATAATGATACCAGTGGGCATTGCCATTTTTTAAAGCGTAAAATAATCAATGAGCAGATTGTCATTACAAAAACTCATTCTGCATCATACCTATCATCCAAGAGATTGATATTTCATGCTTACAAAACTTAACATGAAATTAAATTGCAAATATTTTCTCATAATCTACTAAAATTATGGCCGAAGGCACTACACTGCTAATATGAAACATTTGTTCGGCTCTAGTGGACATATTTCCTATATGATTTATGTGAAAGGTGGTTTCATTTGCTTCTTCATAGACTCAGTAATGAGGTTTCTTTGGTTATATTAAGCCTGGTTAATCCTAGAAAGTATAGAAACTTCTTTAAAATTAAACCAGCAAATATAACACTGAATTATTAATAAAGAATAATCAAATTGCCCTGGCTGGTTTGGCTCAGCGGTTAAAGCATCGGCCTGTGGTCCAGAGAGACCTGGGTTCAATTCCCACTAAGGGCACGTACCTTGGTTGCAGTTTGTCCCCAGCCCTGGTTGGGTAATGCGGATGGCAACCACCCAATATGTCCCTTTCACTTCAATGTTTCTCTCTCTCTCTACCCCTCCCACTCTATCTGAAAAAAAAAAAAAAAAAAAAAAAAGCAAAAATGTGCTCAGATGAGGATAAAAAAAAAGTCAAATTACTAAAACGGGTTTTTGTCCTCCATGTGTATATGAATGTTTATTTTTTTAATTTATTTTTTTATCTTTATTGTTGAATGTATTACAGATGTTCCTCATTTTTCCCCCATTGACCCCCTCCTCCCCACTCCCGCCCCTCTCCTGTCTTTCCCCACACTGTTATCTATGTTCATTGGTTATGCACATATGCATATAAGTTCTTTGGTTTATTTCTTCCCACTCCCCATCCCCCCTTCCCTTTGAGGTTTGTCAGTCTAGCTACCAATTTGTACTTCTTAATCCCTTCACCTTTTTCACCCATTCCCCCAATCCCCCCCCCCGCCCCCCTCATCTGGCAACCAATAAAATGTTCTCTATATCTTTGAGAATGTTTCTCTTTTGCTTCTTCATTTTATTTGTAGATTCAATTGTTGATAGATATGTATTCATTGCCATTTTGTTTGTTCATATTTTTTATCTTTTTCTTCAAGAAGACCCTTCATCATTTCATATAATAATGGCTTGGTGGTGATGAACCCCTTTAGCTTTTCCTTGTCTGGGAAAATCTTTTTATATGGCCATTGATTCTAAATGACAGCTTTGCAGGATAGAGTAATCTTGGTTGTAAGGTCTTGGTTTTCATCACTCTGAATATTTCTTGCCACTCCCTTCTGGCCTGCAAAGTTTCTCTTGAGAAATCAGCTGACAGTCTTATGGGAACGCCCTTGTAGGTAACTAACTGCTTTTCTTCTGCTGCTTTTAAGATTCTCTCTTTGTCTTGAACCTTTTGCATTTTGATGATGATGTGTCTTGGTGTGGGCCTCTTGGGGTTCATCTTGTTTGGGACTCTCTGTGCTTTCTGGACTTGTATGTCTGTTTCCTTCACCAAGTTAGGGAAGTTTCCTGCCATTATTGTTTGAGATAGGTTTTTGATTTCTTGTTCTCTCTCTTCTCCTTCTGGCACCCCCAAGACGTGAATGTTGCCACGCTTGATGTTGTCCCAGAGGCTCCTTACACTATCCTCATTTTTTTGGATCTTTTTTCTTTTTGCTGTTCTGACTGGGTGTTTTTTGCTTCCTTATATTCTAAATCAATGGTTTGCTTCCTGGCTTTACCTACTCTACTATTGAATCTGTGTAAATTATTCTTTATTTCAGTTAGTGCCTCCTTCATTTTTGACTGTGCATCATTCATTTCTGACTAGACCTTTTTTTTCTTGGTAGGTGCCCCTAGCGAGGACCAAACCCAGGACTCTCTGGTCCACAGGCCGACGCTCCAACCACTAAGCCAAACTGGCCAGGGCCTGACTGGTCTTTTTTTATGCTCTTGAGGCCCTCCCTAAGTTCGCTGAGGTTTTCACTAACTTCATTGAGCATCCTTATAAGCAGTATTTTGAACTCAGCATCTGTTAGGTTGCTTATCTCCATTTCACTTAGTTCTTTTCCTGGGGTTTTGTTCTGTTCTTTCATTTGGGACCTGTTTCTTTGTCTCCTCATTTTGGCTGCCTCTCTGTGTTTGTTTCTGTATATTACTTAACCAGAGGTATGGGGCTCGCTAAGACCAGATTCTGCTCGTTTGAAAGAATTTAGGAAAACCTGAAGCAGGATCCAAGACAGGCCAATCCTATGGTTAAGCAACTGGCAACAGCTTGGGTGGGCCTGAAAGTTGGATGGGGCAGGGCGGGGCCTCAGGGAGTCACCAGGGCGGGGCTACCAGTGTGAGCCAGGCTGCTGGAGTCCCAGATATGGCGACTGTCTGCCGCCCCAGGGAAGGGCTCACCAAAGGAACAAAGGCCTCTGACAGCATGTCTGCCCAGAAGAAAGGCCCCTCTCCAGCCCTCGCTCCAGTGCCAAACAGCTCAGTTCTTCCCTGTATGTCTCTGGCGCCCCTCGAGCTGCCTCCCCTCCAAGCTTAGAGGGATAGAGTCCCATAGGTCCGTGCGCGGGCCCTTTAAGGAGCTGCCTGGGGGTCCAGCCACCTCAGCCTCCCTGAGCCTCAGTTCCCGCTGGTTTTTCCAACCAGAAGTGATGGGGATTCTCTTCCTGGCACTGGAACCCTGAGCTGGCATTCTGGTGTGGGATGGGGACCCCTCAATCCTCAGAGAGGACCTTCCCAGCCGAGGTGTCCTCCTGATTTTTATCTGCCGCACGTGGGTGTGGGGCCAGCCCGTCCCCTCTGCCCTCCTACCAGGAGGGCTGCTGCGACTGCTGCTTTAATTCCGTAGTTGTAGGACTTCCATTCAGCTGGATGTCAGGCGGTTCTGAAGGATAGTTGTTCTATAGTTTAGTTGTAACTTTGATATGGTTGTGGGAGGACGCAATACCGCATTTACCTACCTGCCATCTTGACCGGAAGTCTATGACTGTTTATTTTAAACATCAGCCATTCTTTCATTATCCAAACACATAAAAAGCATCAGAATATTCCATACAGAAAATAGTTTCATTCTTTAGGCATAAAATCAGGGTAACAAATTTCAAACAAAATAGTAAATTATGATTTCCACCCCCTGAAATCTAGAAAGATAAAAAATAATTCCAATCATTTCCAAAAGAAATGTCAGGGATAAAAGAAAGGAGAGTTGTGACACCAATATTTTTTCTTCATCTATTAGGATGTGAATAACACTGAGCCCATGAGGTATAAGAAAAGATAAAACTGATTCCAGCATTATCAACCCAATGCATCATGAAACTTATGTGTAGCACATTCTAGCCAGTGAAGTATTTGCTTATTAGCATGTTTCAGAATACACATAGGAAAAAAATAATGCCTTCATCTGGAACTGGATAAAAATCTATGCATTTAAGCTTTATGCTGAAATCTATTTGACAACGTGAAAAATTACCACATTTTATACCAAACTGTAATGGGCAATTCTTACCTTAAGCATTCAGCATCATTTTGAGGCTTCTCATTGATTTTTATTTTTTCTGCCTCTAGGTATTTGGTAGTACAAATGGCTTCGTTCTTTTTATCCTCAAAAACTAAACAATTATGAAAATGCTTACAATCTTAAAAATTAAAGTTTGTCTTTATTCATTCATAAGAATAATCCTTTAATTTCTACTGCTCCATATAAAATGTATGCACTAATGATTTTTATTTTTCTATTTTAATATAGCAATTAAAGGCACAACAAGAGTCTTAACAAAATTTGAGACATTAAAAATATCAAGTCAGCCCTGGCTAATTTGGCTCAGCAGTTGGAGTACTGGCCTGCAGACCAAAGGGTCACAGGTTAGACTCCTGGTCAAAAGCACATAAATGGGTTGCAGGTTTGATCCCTACCTAGCCCTGAGCAGGGTTATGTGGGTGGCAACCAATTGATGTGTCTCTCGTGCATCGATATTTCTCTCTCTCTCTCCCTCCCTCCTTTTCACTCTCTAAAAACCATTGAAAAAAATATCCGTGGGTGAGGATTAACAAAGTTTATATATATATATCAGGTCAGCCCTGGTCTGGTGGCTCAGTTGATTAGAGCACTGTCCCACACACCAAAAGGTTTCAGGTTTGATTCCCAGTCAGGGCACATGCCTAGGTTTCAGGTTCAATTCCTGGTGGGGGTGCTTTGTGGGAGGCAACTGATCAACATTTCTTTCTCACATGGATCTCTCTCTCTCTCTAAAGAACAATCGAGCGTCCCCTCCCTCCCCATATTCCTCTCTCTCTAAAAAACAATCAATAAAAGCCCTGGCCAGTTTGGCTCAGCGGTTAGAGCATCGGCCTGCGGTCCGGAGAGACCCGGGTTCGGTTCCCGCTAAGGGCATGTACCTTGGTTGCAGTTTGTCCCTGGCCCTGGTTGGTCGTGCGGGTGGCAGCCACTCGATGTGTCCCTTTCACGTCGATGTTTCTCTCTCTCTCTCTCTTCCTCTCTTTCCCTCCTACTCTATCTGTGCAAAAGATGGAAAAATGTCCTCGGGTGAGGATAAAAAAAAAACAAAAAACAAAAAAACAATCAATAAAAAAATAGATATATCAAGCCTAACACTGATCAATTCAGTGTTTTACCTATTTCTTTTTTTATACCAATAATAGCACTACATTGCAATAAGTTGATATATTTTGAAAGAATAATATGACCCTATCATGTGTATATGAATATACGCATCAGAAAAATAAACAAACACAAAAAGGTAATACCTTTATGTTTTCTCTGCAGAGTAAATAGTTCTTGCATTAATTCACTCTTTTGTTTTTGAACCTCATTTAACTGGCCACTGCCTTGTTCCATTGACTTCATTTCTAGAAACGAATAAACAAAAAATCATTATTTTAACTATTTGGGCTTTGCCATAAATGTTAGCACTTCTTAACTTTTTCTCATGTAGCAAAAATTTAAGCAGCATATGGTTAATTTTAAGGCTGGACTGGCTTCCCTTGGCCACCTAGGAACTGTTTCTAATAAAGTGACCAGATTCATTTAAGCACCAAGTGGATACAAATGAAAATTAGTCGATGGTTAGACTACTAGCAAAGAATTCAAAATAATGTAATATCACGAAGTAAAACAAACTTACCAATGATACAAAAAGAAAACTCTATCCTTCATAACTAAAGTGTATTTAAAATGATCTTCCATAGTATTCACTATATGACTAGAAGCTTCCACAATATTGTTAATATTGTTTCTTCTACCTAGAATGCCTTCCTCCCTTTATTCCCACAACAAATTCTTTTATATTTAAATTTTTATCACAAAGGGCTATTGAATCTTGTTAAATGCTTTTTCTGTGTCTTTGATTACATTTTTAGATCTTTCACTTATCTCTTGATTATAGCCATGTCTTTGAGTCTATTTATAATATTTATAAGAGCAATTTAAAGTCTCTCTTTGCTAACCTCATCATCTGTCATTTGTGTGTATGTTTCAAGTGACCTAATTTCCTCCTTACTATGAGTTACAGTTTGCTGCTTCTTCAAATGTCTAGTGATTTGTTATTAAATACAAGATATTGCATTTACTGTTTTGCTAAATGTTTGAATTTTGCTATCTTCCCCTAAACCATGTTGATATTTGTTATTTGGCAGGTGATTAAATAACTTATGGATCAGGTTCCAATCTCATTTTTAAGATTTTTTTTTTAAACAGTGGGTCTAGAATAGCCTTGAGTCTAATGTTAATTTAATCCTACTATTTAGGGTAGGACTCTGCTGTTTAGTGAGATCTTTTTATTCTGACGGGTTGCAACATGGATGTTTATATTCCCTTACAGGAATGTAGATTCCATAAAGGAAAAATTTTTTATTTCTTTGTCATACATTGAGGTATCATCAATGCCTGTAAGAGTGCCCGATACACAAAAGAGTACAAAAAATCATTATTGAATGAATGAATGTACTAGGCATATTTTAGAAATACACTGGTGAGTAAAAGATGTAATTCCTGTCATTGTGAAAGCTTACACCTTTGTAGGGGAGATAGATATGAATCAAGTAAGTATATCAGTATAGAGACCATGAGAGAATATCGTCAGAGGAATGGATCCTCTAGAAGCAACATCTGAGCTTAGACCAGCTCAAATTCAAAGGTCCTGAGGCAGGAGGAAGCACACTACGACCTAGGAAGTGACCAAGGTCCGTGTGCATGCAGCACAGAAAGCAAAGGCCACTGGGGAACCCGGAAGGCAGAGAGGCACGAGGTGGTGCAGAGATGGCAAAACAAGTTGAAGTACTGGTTTGCTATGTTGATCATGATACTTTTAAACAGAATATAAATAAATTAAGAGGTTCATTAAAACAGCCCAGTAGTAATATAATAATGTCTTTTAAAAATATATGGGTGTTAATATGTTGACACTCTCAAGGAGAATCCAACTCTGGGGTTAAAAAATAAAGAGCCCTGGCTGGTTTGGCTCAGCGGTTAGAGCGCTGGCCTGCGGTCCAGAGAGACCTAGGTTCGGTTCCTGCTAAGGGCATGCACCTCGGTCGCAGTATGTCCCTGGCCCTGGTTGGATTGTGCGGGTGGCAGCCACTCGATGTGTCCCTTTCATGTCGATGTTTCTCTCTCTCTCTCTGTTCCTCTCTCTCCCTCCTTCTCTATCTGAACAAAAAATGAAAAACTGTCCTCAGGTGAGGATAAAAATAACTAACTAAATAACTAAATAAATAAATAAATCAAAGAGCCCTGGCCGGTTTGGCTCAGCAGTTAGAGCATCGGCCCGCGGACCAATGAGTTGTGGGTTCAATTCTGGTCAAGGGCATGTACCTCCATTGCGATTCATCCCCAGCCCTGGTTGGGGTTGTGTGGGAGGAGGTCATTCAATGTGTCCCTTTCATGTCGATGTTTCTATCTCTCTCTCCCCCTCTCTCTCTCCCTCCCTCCCACTCTGAACAAAAATGGGAAAAAAAATCAAAGAAGATATCTGGTCATTGAAAAACACTCTGAGCCCTGGCCTGTTTGGCTCAGCGGTTAGAGCGTTGGCCTGTGGTCCAGCGAGACCCGGGTTTGGTTCCCGCTAAGGGCATGTACCTCGGTTGCAGTTTGTCCCAGGCCCTGGTTGTGTTGTGCAGGTGGCAACTGCTCAATGTGTCCCTTTCACGTCGATGTTTCTCTCTCTCTCTCTTCCTCTCTCTCCCTCCCACCCTATCTGAACAAAAAAATGTCCTCGGGTGAGGATAAAAAAAAAAAAAGAAAAACACTCTGAATAGTAGAAAATAACAAAACAGCTATGGATAATATCTGCTTAAAATTTGAACAACAACAAGGAGATAAAGGCACTAGAAACAGTTTCACCAGTGAGTTATTTCAAACCTTGAAGGAGCAGATCATTTAGTATTAACATTTTTCCAGCTAGAGAAAAAAAAAGGAAGCTTTTACATCCTTTTGGTTAACTCACCGAAAAGTTAATCTCACTTATAAATATTGGTGCAAAAATCTTACAGAAAATATTATCAAACAGAAGTCAGCAGTATATTAGAAGACTGAGAGACCACAACTAAGTATGATTAATAATAGGACATGTATTAATAAAATTCACTATGTTAATAGATTAAAGTGGGAAAAGCATATATGATCATCTCAAAAGGAGTATGGAGGAGGAGGATGCAAGAAAAGAGGATGGGAGAAAAGGAGAAGGAGAGAGAGCTTCAATCTAGCATCATGATTAACAGTAAAACTCTAGAAATATTTCCATTAAAATTAGTAATAAAGGATATGCAACATCATTATTGCTAAAGACTGAATTTTTGTGTCCTCCCAAAGTTCATATATTAAAATTCCATTTACAATAATTAGTAATACATAGAGAAATATTAACAAGAAAAGATGAAGACAACTGAAATACATATGTTGTTTTTAGGTGGGAAGACTCAAGATTGTAAAGTTATCAATTCTCTCTAGATTCATTAATAAAGTCAATGCAATTCTAATTAAAATACAAACATTTTTGAACTTGATAAAATGAAACAATGTTATCAAGAAAAATAAACACAGGAGAATCAATAATAAAGAATAAGGAGAGAGGATGCCCTGCTAGATATTCAATGATACTATAAAACTAGAATACTCAAAAAACAGAGAAAACAGAGTACAGAAAGACACACATACAATACATAAATTTAACATATAATAAATGTAGAATTTAAATTGATTGGAAAACAGTGAATTACATAGTAAGTAGTGTTTTTTTTCTTTTTTTGACAGAGTGGGAGGGAGGGAGAGAGAGAGAAACATCGATGTAAGAGAGACACATCGATTGGTTGACTCCCACCTGACTCCGACCAGGGCCAGGGATGAACTCATGACTCTTTGGTCTGAAGGCCGAAGCTCTTAACTGCTGAGCCAAACCAGCCAGGGCACAATAAGTAGTGTTAAATAACTGAAAAAAAATGTTGGCTACCTAAGCTCTTTGAATTTATTTATATCATGTAAAATATAAATGGGAAAATGGAAACTGAAAGTTACCAGAATAAGCATGGGTGAATTGTTTAATTATTATTTTTTTAATTTTAATTTTGTGTTTTTATCCTCACCCAAGGACATTTTTCGACATTTTGTTAAGATAGAGTGGGAGGGAGAGAGAGAGAAACATCAACGTGAAAGGGACACATCGAGTGGTTGCCACCCACACAACCCAACCTGAGCTGGGGACAAACTGCAACTAAGGTACGTGTCCTTAGCAGGAACCAAACTTGGGTCTCTCCAGACCGCAGGCCGACACTCCAACCGCTGAGCCAAATTGGCCAGGGCTGAATTGTTTAATTATTAATGCTACACAGAAAAGCCTTTCTAAGCCAGAGACAAAGGTCTAGAAATCATAAAGGAAAAGATTCATTAAGATGACTGCAAAAATTTTAAATTTCTATCTGGCATTCAGAGAGACAGACACAAATACACACACACACACACACACACACACACTATAAATACAGTCAAACTGTAAACAATAGACTAGGAAACAATTTATAACACATGACAAAAGGATAACTTCCTTAACGGACAAAAAGCACATACAGATAGTAAAAACAAAAAAATAAATAGTTGAACAAAAAATATGAATAGACTGTTCACAGAAAAATAATAGTGGTCAATAAATTCAGAGAAATATATCCAGTGTTGTGCAAAATCACAGAAATGCTAATTGAACCAACAATGAAAATAGTATCCTGACTACTAGTTAGATTGGCAGATTTTTTTTTATAGGAATTGCATTGATTCTGTAGATCATTTTTAGTAATAACATCACTGTACCAATATTACGTTTTCCAACCCATGAACGTGGAATGTCTTTGTATTTATTTGGGTCTTCTCTGATTTCTTCCAGCAATGTTTTATAGTTTTCAATACCTAAGTCTTTCACCTCCTTGGTTAATTTATTCCTAAGTATTGTATTCTTTTCAATGCTGTTATAAATGGAATTTTCAAATTTCCTTTTTGAATTGCTCATTGCTACTACATAAAAATGCAACTGATTTTTGTGTGTTGATTTTGTATACTGAAACTTTGGTGTACAGTACCTTGAACAAGGTGGGGGGTTAGGGACTCCAACCCTCTACTGTCTAAAATCCACTTTTAACTTAAGTCAGCCCTCAACCGCAGATCAAAAATACTGTTTTCAACCCCTGGTTGGTTGAATCTACAGATGTGAAACCCAGGGATACGGAGGGCCGTGTGTATATTTATTTTTTAAAATTCATGTATAAGTGGAACTGCACAGTTCAAACTCATGTTGTCCCAGGGTCAATATGATATTTATTTATTTCTCTAGCAGTTTTTTGTGTGGAATCTTTAGGTGTTCTACATAGAAGATAATGTCACTTGGGAACAGAGATTATTTTACCTCTTCCCTTTCCAATTTGGGTGCCTGTTATTTCTTCTTCTGGCCTAACTGGTCTGCCTAGAATCTCCAATGCTGTGTTGGACAGAAGTAGTGACATCCAGTGACTTTTTAAAGAAAGTTAGTTTCAGACTATTTCCTAAGGTTAATACCTATTTATCTTTGTTTTTAGTGATCATTAAATAGCAGTACACATCAATATTACCTAAGGGACTTTAAAAAATTATGTTCCCTATCCTCATCCACAGAGATTCTGATTCAATAAGTCTGGGATAAGAGTCAAGTACTTAGTATTTTTTTAAACTTCTCACATGTATACCTACTACAGTTAAGAACCTCTGTCCTAATCTCTCTACCCAAAGTAATTTATCTATGAGAACCTCATTTCCTTCCTCTATAGAATAAAACTAATTTAAAAGTATAATCCCCATATTTTTGCAATCTTAATTATATACCAGGCAGCATCCCATATGCTTAAATATTCTTTCACTGAATCCTCATAACAACCTTATTATAATCCCCTATCTTTATAGATGAGGAAACGGAGACGAAGAAATTTAAGTATCTTGCCCAAAATTACAGAGCAATTAAGTGGTGAAATTAAGATTTAAATTCAGTTAACATGACCTCAGCATTTATAATCTTCAGGATGGTGGTTTTCATATGGCTTACACCTAGTAAATATTACCTTAATAATAAAAATTGTCACATGCAAAGCACGATAAAATATTTGTAACAATAACTCTTAAGTCAATAAAAGTGTTACATGTGTTTACTATTCTTCATTTACTAAAGGCATCGAAGTAACAGTACATTTTAGAAAGGCTCCATGAAAAACTAATTTTCAATTTAATATCATTTATATTTTCATTCTCTACTTCAACTCCCACTCTTTGATGCTGCTCATGGTATCTCCTGATTGTCAAATGAATTTCCTATTTTGACTCACACTCAGTTGTGCACAACTTTTTGTTGCTTTTAGTTTCCAAAACACTACGCTCTGCTGATTCCCTGTTGCCCTCTTTGTCTACTCTAATTCTTCTCTTCCTTTCCTTAAATGCTATGCTTTCTTAGTTTCTGTCTTTGGTCTTTGCTCCTCCTCTTTGTTCCCTCTGCATGTCTGCTCTGAATGATGTCACCAACTCCTCTGGATTCAGTCCCAAACCTAATACCTTGGCCCTGCTCTCTCCTATCAGCCTCACAATCAAATTTCCACCAGCTACCTGGGCATCTCCACCTGTTTATGTCATAGACATCTCCAACTAAAAATATCTGAAGCCAAACTTAATTTCATCAAGCCAGATAAAAATGAGACAACAGTATGTATTCATACCCCTTCTCAAAATGTTGGCCTGGTTTTCTAAGTCAGATATTTCAGTCTTGACATTTTCTTTCATCAAAAGCTTTCTTTTCTTTGTTATTTCATACTCATTATTGAAGTCTGTAATTTCCTTAATAAATTTTTCCTCCTCCTCCAATACTTTTTTCTTAGTAGCCTCCTGAAAAACAGAAACAAGATATCAAATACGGGCATTAATTGCAATAATATTTTTCTTTCGTGATTTAAAATGCAATCATGTTATACTATTAACAACAAAATATGGTATTATACTTCCTGGTATTGTGAAAACAATGCTTTATTCCTCCAGTAATATTCATAAAAAATCTAAAGCTATTATGTAATAACAACCAACTATTTTCACATGAAAGATTTATTCTTAATGTTTCAGGAGAATTACTGATGTAGAAATTCTACCACTCGTCATTATACATGTGTTTGTTTCTGTATTAAACTTATAACCACATTGCCATTTTGTCATTGAAATATAAATTTGGTGGTAACATAATTAAATGATCAAACTTGAAAATAAAAATGTATACACAAAGGAATTACTGCCTAATAAAGAAAAAAAGAGAAAAACAAACAAGGAAATTCAAGGAACCCTTTTAAAATGTATACAATTAATATAAAATTATATATTCATTTCAAATTCAGTTCTAAATAATAGTTTACATTTTTATGAAATATCAACATGGTGTAGAAATAAGAATTTTTAAAAACTTTGGACAATGCTAGACCTTAAACTTCTGACAATGCTAGAAGCTAAACATTACTACATTTTTCTATTTTTTCTAAGAAATGTCAACTGATTATAAACTACATCTGGAAACTGGCCATATCATTCATAAACAACTGGTGGTTGATTCTGATGATTCTGTTGACTTTATATATATATATATATATATATATATATATATATATACACACACACACACACACACACACACACACACACACATATATATATATTTTTTTTATTTAAAAAAAATTTTTTATCCTCACCCAAGGACATTTTTGCATTTATCTTCAGATAGAGCGGGAGGGAGAAGAGGAGGAAGAGAGAGAAAGAAATATCAATGTGAGAGAGACATATCGAGTGGTTGCCACCCACACAACCCCAACTGGGGCCAGGGACAAACTGCAACCAAGGTACTGCCCTTAGTGGGAACCGAACCTGGGACTCTCTGGTCCGTGGGAAGACACTCTAACCGCTGAGCCAAACCAGCCAGGGCTAGATATATATTTTTAATATTTTATAATGTATTTTCTTTGAAATGTCAATTAATTACAAGCCATGTTCCTAAACTGCCCTATCATTTAAAACTACTGTGTCTGTTGGCTCTGACTTATGATGAAAAGATAAACAAAATCTATCTCTTCACCCATATCCATAAATATGCCTACAGTGCAAACCTCTCTGCTTTTCAAAAGCATTAAAAACAATGTTTAGAAGCCTGAGCAATTCAAATCAGTTTTCACTGTTTCTTTTATGCTATTACAATTACAAATAATTTCCATATTGTATCCCTGCCAATAAAAATTCTTCCAAATTATATTACTCTACCAACTGTTTTAAATAGCACTTAATACTTTTCTGTATCTGAACAGGACTATCTGCCAATGTGCATATGGGTAATTTTCTAAAAGTACACCTAAGTGTATTCACATACTTTAGACACAGTTAGTGAAATAGATTTTTCTAAGTGGCTGGAGACTTACAAGGGTCTGAAGAAGCATATTCCTTTGGTTTGTAATTTCACTGCACTGTCTTTCTAAGGCATTTTCATGAGTTTTCAAAAGCTGTAAGAGGAAGGATTTTTCAGAAAACTGCTGAACCTTAAAAAAAAAAACAACACCAGAAGTCTGAATGAACCAATCAGACATTTTAGGGTACCTTAGTTAATAGAACAGCTCTATATAGTATAAAACACATTCTGTATTATCTTCAAAATGCAAAATATAATTCATAGTAAATACCTTAGTTTATATGCTATATCTTATAATATTCTATACGTGTTTTATGATTACAAATTTCATAATCTCTTCCCCCAATAAGACTATAAGCTCCTCAAGGGAGGAGAATGCTTTTTCCTTTTCAATATCTAGCACATTTCTTCACTTAGATACTAAAGGTTTTTGACTACACACATGGAAATCTGCTTCAAGACAGCTTGTTTTGAAGAACAAGTTTCTGTTTTCATCACTTATAAGGAAGATATGGACAAATAAATCATATATACAATATGACTAATAAAATAATGAGTTAAAATCTATAAACCATAAGCAAAAACCAAATCCCATGACTATAGTTATATTAAATAAAACACAAATCTTCTAAAATCCTCAAGTGGGTTTTGAGAACTTATTTTTTTATTTTAGTGCCTCATTTGATTCTAACTAGCAAAAGACACAGAAAATTTAATATTAGACATGTAATTGTTATTTTATTTAGGTTGTCAAATATAGCACCTCTTGAGATTATGAATGTTGAAATGAAAGTCAACTGTAATATAAAAAAGCTAAAAATAGCCCTGGCCGGTTTGGCTCAGCGGTTAGAGCGTCCGCCTGCGGTCCGGAGAGACCCGGGTTCGGTTCCCACTAAGGGCGCATACCTCGGTTGCAGTTTGTCCCCGGCCCTGGTTGGTCGTGCGGGTGGCAGCCACTCGATGTGTCCCTTTCACATCGATGTTTCCCTCTCTCTCTCTTCCTCTCTCTCCCTCCTACTCTGTCTGTACAAAAAATGGAAAAATGTCCTCGGATGAGGATTAAATAAAAAAAAAAAAAGCTAAAAATAATGCTGGACTGGAAGTACCCTTTCCACTGTGTTCAGTACTGGCCTTCACAAGAAAGCATCACTCCTAGTTTGGGGCTGTTCCTATCTCCACAGAAAAAAAGAAAAAAGAAATAAATTCAACTTAAATTGCAGAAAGCAAGATTTATGTTAGCTGTAAGAACTCCCTCAAGGTGAGCGACAGACTGTGAAATCTCTGTCCCAGAAGATATTGAATAGTAAAGAGCTTAGAAAGAGTCTAGTCCAGAGGCAATGGGTAGGCCTAAAAGACATTTTGAAATGATGTGACTCAAAAGTCCTACAGATATTGGCATTTAAAAAAGTAGCTTAAATAAAACAGAAGATATGATCTTACACTTATATATTACCATAGCACATCTGCCCACACCTTCAGTACTTGGTGCTTTTCTCATCAACTCTGTCTTAAGGAAGACATCAATAGAGGAGATTAGAGAGGTGAAATTTACAAGACTGAGGAAATCAGAAATTACTTTCAGAAGTGGACGAGGGGAGAATGGTGCAGTTAGTATTTCACTGTCTGGGAAAACAGAAATTGGAAAACATATGTCCAGATCTATAAAATCATATAGAAACTGGTAACAATGGCAAGAATATGATCATGAATTATAACACATTTATTTAGAATAAAAAATACTTCAGCCGTGGCCGGGTGGCTCAGTTGGTTGGAGCTTTATCCCTTACACCAAAAGGGTTTGGGTTCAATTCCTAGTCAGGGCACATACCAAGGTTGCAGGTTTGATCCTGGGTCAGGGCACTTATAGGAGGCAACCAATCAATCTCTTTCTCAAATCTATAAAACATGTATCCTCAGGAGAGAATTAAAAAAATACTTCAAAGCTATTTAGTACATATTACATTGATAACAATAAAATGAGTCCCAGAGAAGTCAAATAACTTAACAAAGGTTATATAATTAATTAGGGGCAAACCCAGGACTAAAATACAGGTCTTTGGACTTCCTTTCTTGTAAATCATATTAATATGGAAATACTGAACTCTTTAAAAAGAGATATTTCTGGACCCAGGAAGGGACTCCAGTCTCTGATAATAGTACACACTGAAAGAATATAAGTGTAAGAAAATTAATTATCAAATACTAGATCCATTAGAGCTTATTAAGAGAAGGTTGCTGGCAATATATACCTAACAATCAGAGTTACTATTATTGATGGTAACCATGAATGCCTAAAAAAATGTTTCAAACCAATTACTGGGCTGGGTAAATTTTTTTTTTTTTTATCCTCACCCGAGGATATTTTTCTATTTTTTGTACAGATAGAGTGGGAGGGAGAGAGAGAGAGAGAGAGAGAAACATCGATGTGAAAGGGACACACCGAGTGGCTGCCACCCGCACGACCAACCAGGGCCGGGGACAAACTGCAACCGAGGTACATGCCCTTAGCGGGAACCGAACCCGGGTCTCTCTGGACCGCAGGCCAACACTCTAACCGCTGAGCCAAACTGGCCAGGGCAGGCTGGGTAAATTTTTATTTAATACTCCTGAATTCTGATTCCATTCCTGTCACTAATCTGTTGTAAATGACCTGTGTCGAAACTCAAAAGTTGACAAAACTCTACTTATCAAACCAAGAAATTTAAAAATAAGACTTAAGCAAATGTATTATTCAAGTTCAGAAAAGCCTTACTAAAGATTCAGAAATTCAGGCGTTCAGTTCCAGCTATCACCAACTAAGACCCGAATTACTACTGAGCTCACATTCTCTTTCTAAAAAGGGAAAATAAGAATATTAAAGAAAGCTATGAGACATATTGGCAATGAATTAGAATATTTTATCATACCTGAAAAATAAAACCTATATACTCAAAAATGAAAAGTAGACAGCAGTTCAAAAGATTTATAAGAAGGATATGTCTATAATTTTCCTCTTTCTCTAAAATCCTATGTAAATGATCCATTTTGAGGTCTTTTCTGCTTTTTTAACATTAGTCTACTCCTCTTCATCCCCACTTTCTGTCTTACACTCTGTCTTTATCCTTTACTTCCACATTTTCCTCTTTTCATCAACTTTAAAAATCACAGTAACATTCCTTTTCAAACAGCATGACAGAGAAAGAGGCAGGAACTCGGGAAAGCTCGCGTCAGGACTGTCAAGAAAGAACAGATGCCTACAATGTGCTGATTTCCATGTTGCAGACGGCAAGTAAGTGAGGGCTGCAGAAGCCTACCTCGGGTCTAATATAATTAATAGAGAGCCTAAATATTTTAATGGAACTAAAGGGACAAAAAGTTTTGGATCTGCCCAGTTCCTCTCTACCAAGTATAAACTAGTAACTCTTAAGAACTAAAATTGTTTTTCATGGCCACCTATTTGCAGAATGTTTCTCATTGTTCCTTTTGTGTTTTCTGTTATTACAACAAATTTATTAAATTATTTTCACTTGCTTGTGTTTGAAAACCAGACTTATTGATATGTTAAATTTAGGTAAATATTCCTGAACACATTGACAGGGTCACAAGATGAGGTAGGACATTTCACAGAATAAATTATTATCAGGAAACTCTACCTCTCTTTAGTTGCAAAGGTGATAGGTGGGGATCAAAATTAGGAAGATACATAGAAGAGATATACAATCATGACTTAAATATTTTTAAATTACTGACTCTATTTTCCTAAGTTATGCAGGGACTCCAAAGAGCTACAAACAATAATAAGAAAAGGGTTGAAACAACTATCAGAAAGAACACATGCATCCCTATGTATAGCACCATTACTTACTATAACCAAGATCTAGAAACAGCCCAAGTGCCCATCAGCTGATGAGTGGATAAAAAAGCTATGGTAGCCTGACTGGTGTGGCTCAGTGGACTGAGCGTCACCCCATGGACTGAGAGGTCCTGGTTCGATTCCTGGTCAGGGCACATGCCCGAGTAGCAGGCTCAATCTCCAGTAGGGGAAGTGCAGGAGGCAGCCAATAGATGTTCCTCTCTCACATGAATGTTTCTCCCTCTCTCTCCCTTCCTCTCTCTCTAAAAAATCAATAAAAACATATATTTTTTAAAAAGCTATGGTACATTTAGACAATGGATTACTACACGGCTATAAAAAAGAAGAAACTTTTGCTGTGCAAAAGCTTTTTAGTTTAATGTAGTCCCATGTATTCATTTTTTCCTTTGTTTCTGTTGCCTTAGGTGATGTATCAGTGAAAATTCTGCTGCGTATGATGTCCAAAATTTTGTTGCCTACATTTTCTTCTAGAATTTTCATGGATTCACGGGTCACATTAAGTCTTTTATCCATTTTGAGTTTATTTTTGTGTATGGTGTAAGTTGATGGTCTAGTTTCATTTTTTTGCATGTAGCTGTCCAATTTTCCCAACACCATTTATTAAAGAGGCTATCTTTACTCCACTGTATGCTCTTGCCACTTTTGTCAAATATTAATTGAGCATATTGCCTTAGGTCCATTTCTGGGTTCTCTATTCTGTTCCACCGGTCTATATGCCTGTTTTTGTGCCAGTATCAGGCTGTTTTAATTACAGTCGCTTTGTAGTATAACCTGATATCTGGTATTGTAATCCCACCTACTTTGTCCTTCTTTTTCAAAACTGCTGTGGCTATTTGGGGTCTTTTTGGTTCCATGTGAACTTTTGACGTATTTGTTCTAGTTCTGTGAAATATGTTGTTGGTATTTTGATGGGGATTGCATTGAATCTATAGATTGCTTTGGGTAATATGGACATTTTAATGATGTTAATTCTTACAATCCATGAACAAGGTATGTGCTTCCACTTTTTTATATCTTCCTCTATTTCTTTTTTCAATGTCCTATAGTTTTCTGGAAATAGGTCCTTTACTTCTTTGGTTAAGTTTATTCCTAGGTATCTTAATTTTTTTGCCGCAATGGTAAATGGGATTGGTTTTTCAGTTTCTCTTTCTGTGAGTTCATCATTGGTGTATAAGAATGCCGTCGATTTCTTGACGTTAATTTTGTATCCTGCTACTTTGCCAAATTCATTTACTAAGTCTAGTAGGTTTTTGATGGAGTCTTTAGGGTTTTCTATG